GCGGCTGCACTTACTGGCTTTGGTGGTTTTGTTTTAAAAAAAAACACAAAAAAACAAGAAAAGGAAGACATTTTAAGGGCTTTCTCTCTATGTATAATATGGAAATGATTCCAAGAAGACACCCCGTACCTTTCCCACCCCCCAGACTCCCCACCGCCGTGGGTAGGACCTTGGGCGTTGGCCATCACACGTGGTCATCAACCTTGAGGTTGTGCCCGTGGCCACGACGTGGGGGTCCTGGGCCACAACGGGAGCCGGTGGCCAAGGCACGGCGACGTTCTTCAGCCCGAGGCAGCTTTTGGAATAACGAGCGTATTTATTAATTAGCACTAAGGTTATTAACATCTCAGTAATCAGTATTAGGACTCTGAGGAGCGCCGCGGTCCAGTTGCTCGCATGGAGAAGCCTCCCGGGCCCCGCTCCCCTGGGACAATCCGGGCTCCCCGGGAGGAGCCTTTGGCCGGGGAAGGGGAAGCCCGGCCTGAAAAACAAAAACCAAATCCCAAGAGGTTCTAAGTTGTACTTTTTGCATTTTTAAAGCTTAAAAAAAGGGACGGGAGACTCACTTTAGCCAAATTACACACACCCCCACCCCCAACACACCCACCAGTAAACCCAGTGCCACCAAACTGGTGCCGGGCAGGGTCCACCAGCTTCTCAGCGGGGACCAACTGGACCGAAGAGAAATTCCTACTTTCCCAGATGATACATTTTTTGCTTCCAGCTTCCCTTCCCTGGGCTCGTGGCATCAATATGTTAATTGTAAAATTTATTGTATAGTATTTAACCCCTGAAGTTCTTTTTTTTTTTTTTCTTTTATGTTGTGCTTCTGTGAACCACTGGTGAAGGTCCCTTTTTTGTTTTTTTTGTTTTTGTTTTTGTTTTTCTTGGATAATGTGTAGTTATATGATAATCTGTTTTTAAATGTACAGATATTTTGCTACAAAATCGGTGCAGTTTTTTATGGTTTTTACACTTCTCTTTTATTCCCACTTTAGCCTCTGGGTAATATTGTAAATATTGTTTAAAAAAAAAAAAAGAAAAAAAAATAACGCATCAGCCTGTGCTATACAATCTGAATGTTATTTTAACTTATAGTTTTTGTTTTTTATATTTAACGAAATGGACAGTTTTGGGGCTCCGAGTTACCACATTGACCTCTGCTCACCTATTTACGGGAAGGTTACTTTTAAAAACTGCCACCTCCTTGTGTCCCGGACACGCTGAAGAGAACATGCCAAAACGCCTCCTCCTCCTCCTCCTCCTTCTCCTCCTCCACCCCAGGAGGGTCCTTCTTAATCCTGCGTTAAGAAAAAGTTGCCAATTAATTCAATTAGCTGTTGGGCGAATGGTTAAAAAGCACCTTAGCTCTCGCCTGCTTAAGCTCAAAGATTGTTTTATTTTTTATTTTTTTTGGAAATTGAAGACTCAAAAATTCCCC